CGTCCAGGTGTGGTCCCGGCTGTGCCCCCGACCCTGGGTGGCCGGCCAAGGACCCCATCCCCCGCGCTCACGCGCGCTCTGGGCCGCAGTTTCCCCGGAGAAGAACAGCAGCAGCACCGCCTGCAGCGGCGCAGCAGTGAGCACGGGCCAGGTGCTCGGCGCCGCGCGGGCCGTGAACAGCCACCGCGCCGGCCCCTCCCCGGCCCCAGGCTGGGGCTTGTCTGGGGCCCATCGCCCCGGGCACCAGAGGGCAGCAAAGGGCACCACACTCAGGGCTGTTGGGGACCGAGCTGCAAGACTGAGGCCTTGGGATGCCAGGCCGCACTCAGCAGAAGCCATCCCCCGCCCCGCGCTCTGCTGCAGACCTTAGCTTCTTTTTTCTCCCACAAGAGATGCTCTGGGGCCTGAGCTAGAGGTTGTCCCTTCCTCCTGCCTGCAACCCAAAAAGGACCAGAAACTTGCCCTTCCTTGATCAGGCCTAGGTCAACATCCTCTCCTCCCTCCTCTGTAGCATTTTGTGCCCTTCCAGTCCCTTGAGCGAACATTTCCATTAAATAGTTGGGGAGCTGGGTCTCTAAGCCACAGAGTGAGCCAAGGAAGGTCCTAGGCTCACAGCACAGTCTCTTGCCTTCTCTGGGCCTCTGGTTCCTCTTCTGGAAGATGGTGGTTATGATTCTGTGATTGCGGATGAGAAAGTGCCAACAGTTTAGAAGGCAGACCTGGTCATTACAACAATAGTAAGTGACCCGTGAGGCTGCAGGACTCGGCAGGTGGGGGGTCCTCAGGAGCAAATGAGGGGGGCAGCAGGTTGATCAGTAACTGGGAGTGGGCCGATGCTACTGAAATAGGCTGTCCGGAGCTGGCATGCTCCAGCTTGCAGCTCATGAAAAAGCCATTGCTCCTCAGGGGACACATGAGGCTGTGCTGTTTTGCTTTGGCTATGTCTGATTTGGAGGAATCCAGGGAGGGAGCCGTTCGCTGGTGCCACCCTCCATCCACATGAGTCAGGGTGCCCTGGGCAGTCCTGTGGGTGCCAGCCCACACCCCTCAGCTATCTTCATGGGGCCTGTGGAGTCTCAGCTGCCTGGGAAGGGGCTCTCAAAGGCCATCTCTCCCAGCCCTTCTCTGACAAGGGTTCCAGCAAAACCTCACACCCTCCACAGGGGATCCAGGGGAGGGTTTATTCCATGCCAGGTACTACTCTAGGGCCTTCCTGCTGGCTGCATGAGGTGTGAGAACTATTCCTCTGTGTTGCAGACGGAGAAGCTGAGACGGAGGGAAGTGACTTGCCCAGGGTGCACAGCTAGTAACGCAGGGCTGGAGCTTGAACCCAGAGCTCTTAAACACCTACCCTCCTCCTCTGCCAGTGGCATCTCCATCCCATTTCCAGGAGCACGGCCCCTCAGAGCTCCCTACCCCTCCCCACCTGTCCCCAGGCCTCACCTAGCTGTTGATGAGGTCATTTCAAAGGCACGCAGCACCTAGTGAGCACCCAAGGGCCACTACCTGGATCTGAGAAATGTCGACAGCTCCAGCCCCGCCCTGATTCTTGCCATCATGTATGTAGTTGTCTGAAAGGCCACCTGGGCTGGGTCCCCCAGTCCCCCCCCCTCTTGTCCTCATTGAGACTGTCCTCCCTTGCTGCCCCCCTGCCTTCTGAGGTGAGTTGGTGAGCACACTCCATACACCGGGTTGCTGTGGATGGTGGGGCAGGGCCTGCACTGCAGAAAGGGGCCAGGCAGGGCTGGTCACCGCAGGGGCCTGCATCACCCCGGAAGAGAGCCCTTCCTCTGCCTCCTGCGAAGACACTGGGCAGCCGGGCTCTGGAAAAGGATGACTTATGGCTCCTTCCTGATGGCCCATGCCAGGGACGGAGTAAAGGTGGCCCCCAGGCAGCCATGCCCTCCACGGCCTCTAGTCCTAGGAGGGACACTTTATTTTTATTTTTTTAATATATGTTTATTTATTTCAGAGAGATGAAGGGAGAGGGGGAGAGAGAGAGAAACATCAATGATAAGAGTCACTGATCGGCTGCCTCCTGCACGCCCCCAACTGGGGATCGAGCCCACAACCCAGGCATGTGCCCTGACTGGGAATTGAACCTCGATCTCCTGGATCCTGGGTCAATGGTGATCCGCTGAGCCATGCTCAGCTGGGCTAGGAGGGCCACTTTGATGAGCAGAGGCCAGAGGGTGGCAGGATCAAAACTATGAACCCAGCTCTCCCTAGGGAGATATAGTAGGCTGGGACCCAGCTGGGGTTCTCAACCATGACGATTCCTGGTCCCTCCTGGGCATGTCACCCACCCCACAGATGCCAGGTTATGACTTGCTCTCCCTTGGCCGAGTTCAGAAGCCCTGTTGAAGCCCTGAGGTCTGTGAGCCTGCCCCCTGCCTACAGGGCCAGGGCCTACATTCCCGCAGGAGGCAGAGGTGACCCGTGTTAGCTTGGGATGCCTTGTTTCTACCTCTCTCTTTTTAAAGACATATCTCTTTATTTAAAAAGTAATACATGTTCATGTGTTTTAAATATCCAAACAGTTTCAGAAAGGAATTCAGGGAAAGGAATTGGAAGCAAGAACCCCTCCCTGCCCACCCCATGGGACTGCGGCTAACTCTGAGGGGGGCCCACCCCTGCACAGGGATGACCCCTCGAAGCCGCCCACCACACAGCTCTGTTAACCAAAGCACCCTTTTCTCTTCTTACAGGGTGGCCTTCGTGCCTACACCAGGCCCTGCCCCAGACTGGATGAGTCCAAGTGTTGAGTATTTTCAACAGGTGAGCCCCAAGGTCAGCCAAGCGGTCGAGCTGCCATCCCACATAACTGCCAGCTGCCTACCTGGCTCTGGCGTGGACACTGCGCGGGCTTCCCAGCACTCCCACCTCCCATGTCCTGCCAGCCAGAGCATAATTTTTATGTTGTCCAGGCTTATAATGGTTACAAATTATTTTGTTTTCTGCATGTTTGGCAACAAATAGCATTTATGAGGCTGAACCCAGGGCTCTTAAACACCTCTCCTCCTCCTCTGCCGATTGCAGCCTAGCAATTTTCCTAAGAGTGGAATGGGAACTTTCAAAAATATTTGACCTAATGTTGGGGGGTGGACAGCTGGCCTCCTAGGCAGGAAATGTCTGCCGCAGCCTGGTCTGGTGGCCTCGAGGCTGTAAAAGGTTCTTGGGAGCTGTGTTTGCGGAGCTTGTTGGGCAGGCCGCCATCTGGGGTGGAGCATGTGGGAACTCGTGGCGAGCACCCACACGTCCCTGCACCGTGAGTGCTAGTCCGAGCCCATTCTTAGCAGCTCCTTACACAGAGAACCCCGAGCTCCCACCTGTCCTGTCACTCGGTCCAGTCACTGCCTGAAGAGGAACGGGAGGAAACTGTCAGCCTGGGTGAAAAAGTATGCCTGCAAGGGGACCCGAATCCACAGCCAGGGCCTGAGCCGCCTAGAGGCCCGTCAGGACGCCGCCGTCGCAGGGAAGGCCGCACAGCGCTCCCAACCCGAGCCCACCCTTACCAAGGGAACTGAGCCCTTTGCGTCCACTTGGAGCTGGGTGGCTATATCCTCATTTGCATCTTTAGTGACCAATCAGACAGGCTCCATGACAGCCAATCCGAACAGTGCAATTTGGACCAGTCAAACTGTGAATCTGGAGTCCTCACTTGCATGAAGTTAGGCCAAACTGAAGGAGGGGACTGTTCTCTGTACCAGCCAGCCTCCCCTCCCTGGCCACACCTTCAGCTTCCTCTAAGGACTGTCTGTGGTTCCTTGTTTCATTTGAGCTGTTTCACTCAAGTAAAATTTCTCCCCTCGTCCGGCCGGGTGTGGCTCAGCGGTTGAGCGTTGACCCAGGATCCAGGCGATCGGGGTTCGATTCCCGGTCAGGACACATGCCCGGGTTGCAGGCTCAGGGGCGTGCAAGAGGCAGCCGATCAATGACTCTCTCATTATTGATGTTTCTCTCTCTCTATCCCTCTCCTTTCCTATGAAATCAATAAATACATATTAAAAAAATTTTTTTCTCCCGTTTACCACACCCCAAATGAGGACTCCTACTGGCATTGGATTGGTGTCAGTGACCTTTTGTTGGCAAAACAGACCTGGCTTTCCCTTCCGACAGGCCACCCTCCTCAAGCAGTCTGGCAGTCAAGCAGTCCTCCTCGGCCACGAGCATGGCTCCTCACAGCAGACCCTCAGCAGAGCCAGTCCAGCCCAATGCTCTGCCCCGCCCCCAGCTGTGCGGACCCATGGGTCAGGATGCCGGGAGCTGCTCAGTCCTGTCCTGACAAAGGAATGCTGGGGCCACCAGGGGCCAGCATGTCCTCAGAGGGTGTGTACAGCTGCTTGTGGAGGAGTAAGCTCCCTGTCCCTAGAGGTGTGCAAACCAAGAGGCAGGGATTGAAGTATTGACTAAGATCAGATGCCTCTTGTGGCCTCTCAGGCCCTGAGAAACCAGAGAGAAAGCCTGGAGGAGTTCCAAGGGTGACAGGGCGACCCAGCCAGCACTGCCTTAGTGCCCGCTGTATCCGCAAGCAGGCATGACTATGGTTTCATTTTACAGAAGTGACTAAGGCTCACCCAGTCTCCTAGCTGGAACGGGGGAAAGGCCAGTCCTGTGTCCTTGGAGGGGCTGCCCCATCTACTGGCCCCAAATGGTCTCACGGCCTACTCCTTGTGGCGACACAAGGTCCATGAGGGGCTAGGAGAAATGTGAGCAGTGACTGGAGATGCCAAGTTCAGCCGGAGGAGTGGGGGATGAGTAGGAACTGCTGTGTCCAGTTCTCTGGCCCCACTCAGGAAGCCCTCCCTAATAACACCAGGAGGCCCCGTTTCTCTCCTCCAACTCCTCTCACCTCGGAGGGAGACGGGGTGTGGGCTCAGGGTGGGACAGACCTGGGTTCCGACCGGTTCACGTGCTATCACTCACTCATGTATCCCCTGAGACAAGTCACCAACCTCCCTGAGCCCCATGTCCTCTGCTGCCAAACAGGGGTGACCCCAGTTTTTATGGTCCTCACAAGACACAGCCAGTGCAGGGTGGGCCAGAGCAGGTGCACGCCAAGTCTCTGTGGTTTGGCTCACCCATCCCTTGCCCTCCCACCACAGCCTCAAGCATTGCCAGTAGTGGCCCTAACAGAAGTTCGCCACAGTGCCTTCCCATGGCCTGCTACATGCCAGGCTTCAGGGTCTGGTAGACCAAAGAGGGTTGCAGTCTTCAAGTGGGGTCAGGCAGTGGGATGGGGGTCGGGGGAGGTGGCTGCACATTTAAACTTTCCTGAGAACCTTCATAGCACCCCACGAAGGTGATCTGTCTCCAAGGCCAGCTGATCCAGACTGGACCTGGTAGCCTGGGGTTCAGAGAAAATAAGCATCACCATCCAGCTTTCTGCAAATGCATTGGTGTCCTAGGGACCCCAACTCTGGCCCAATCCCTTGGCCTGACCCTTGAGGGGCCGGACGTCTCATGGTTGATGCCCCTCACCAGGCTCAGTCCTTTGGAGCCTGATGCTTTGGGCACCTGAGCTTATCATCTCAGAGCCTTTGCACTGGCCACTCCCGCTGCCTTACAGCAGTCCTCCTCCAATTTGCACCCTCTGGTCATTTGGGTCTCAACTCAAATGTCACCTCCTCAGAGAGGCCTGGCCCCTGACCATCATAGCTAACATGGGCTTCCACTTTCACTTTTTAAATTTTCAGCCTATTTTTTACTATCTGATCATTTTCCCTGGACGGGCTGGAAACCCCTGGACATGTGGGGGTGTCGGGCCACTAAATGGTATGATAACACCTCTACCCCAAGGCTGGGCTGGAGGGAGGGAGCAGAAGAGGGGGTGCTGGGGCAGGGGTGGAGCAAGTGGCACAGGAAGCCCAAACGCATGGGCAAGTTCCTTTTCCCAGCCAACCATGGACAGCAGTGCCACCTCAGGGCTGTGAGGCTGCAGTGCCAAGGAGGGCTGTACCAGCCTGACCTGGAGCCCTTGGGGGAATGGCCCCTCCAGGAGACTCCTTCCCCACCTGGACAGACACTCAGAGGGGAAGCTGGGGTTAGGGGGCCTTTATTGGTGAGTTAAAAGTGGTGGAGGTGGCAGGGAGGGCTCAGTGGCCACACGATAGCATGTCCAAGACCCCCAGGGCAGCGGTTTCCAAGGCACTGGAGTGGCCCACGCCAGGCAGGCACCGAGCAGCAGCTGGGCACCGTTCACCCCCAATGTGGCACCTGGGAAGGCAGGCCAGGAGGTGCAGACCATCAGTGAAGCCCAGTCAGCTGCTCTTGCGGGACTGGGAGGCTTTCTGCCGGTAGATCTCGGCGGTGAAGGGCCTGCAGGAGGAGGAGGAGAGGCTCTGGTCAGCTGGTCTTGGGGGTGATGCCAATACCCCAGGCCCTGCCCCCCATGAAGCATGGACAGAGTGAAGGTGTCCATGTGAGACCAGGAGGGCCAGGGGCTGCCCTGTCACAGCCTGTCGGGGCCCTCAGCCCCTACTGTGAGTACTCCGAGCTTCCTGTCTGGCCGGGCATGGCCCAGCTGACCCAGCCTGTCTTGGGCGTGGGAATGGTGGCCATGGGAACAGCCCTGAAGGGAGAGGCAAGACCACTTCATCAGTCACAGTGATGGCAGACAGCAGCCTGGCCCCGGATCCATGACAATGCATACTCACTCCTCGTACAGGGCAGCGACCACGTAGACGAGGGCCACAGCCACAGTCAGCAGCAGGCCGGTGGGGCTGGCGTGTCTGTGGACAAGACACATGGTCAGTCAGTCGGTGCACAGGCCTGGCACTGGGTGCCCCTCCCTGCCAGGCTGGGTCCTGTGGCTGAATGAGCTGGGCCGGTGGCCTCTTTCCAGAGTCTGACTCTCTGTCTTGGGCCAGGGCCCCCACTGTCCAGGTCCTAACTGTCCAGTTTGGCTTGGGTCCTTCAGGCAGGGTCCATGCTCCCTTTTCCCATGTCTCCAGCCACCAGCCAGGAACTCAGGACATCACAGGAGTGAATCAGGGAAGGAAGGAATGACTAGTGTCTCAGAATCACCCAAGTGGCCAAGTGGCCTTTTCTGAACAGGAGGATGTTCCAGGGGACAGCAAATGCTACCCCTGCCCACCAGTATCCTCTTTTCAGGAAATGGGCTGAGGGCTCCCAGCACCAGGCAATGTCCCACAGGCCCCTCTATGGCTGTACTGGCGAGTGCCGCACTGAGGAGCCTGCATGAATCTGCTGTTGAGGTGTCCCCCATCTTTCCCTGGACCCCAGGGACTCAGCAGGGGCTGGGCCACTGTCTAGACAGCCAGGGAGGAGAGAGGGAAGGCGGCTGGGGGAATGTGGGCCCAGGCGGGCTCTGCATCCTTGCACTGCCTCCTTCACAGGGTCCCCAGGCTGAGGACCCCGGGGTGGAGGCAGAGGACAGGCATGAGCACTGCGGGACACTCTGCCCAGACCCAGGCCCTCAAGTGTCTCCCTGTGTGGAATCCCAACAAGCCCGAGTGTGCTTGCTGATGCCCTTCCCGTTCTGTGGGCTCCAAAGCCATGTGGAGACACCAAGGCCAAACAGATATCTAGGCTAAGATGAAATCAGCCTCCTAGAGCTTCACTCACTGCCCGATGTGGTTTTCCAGAGCAAGGAGAAACTCTGAGGGGGTTAGGGGGGCAACAGGCTGGGCTCCCCACCTGGGTCAACTTGTAGCCAGCCAGCTCAGGTGGAGCCCAGGGGCTGGGCTCTGTTGCCACAATGTCCCTAAGACTGATGACCTGGGAAGGCAAGTTAACTAGCAGTCACAGAGGTCAGGAATGGACAGGACAGCTCCACAGCTGACTTCTGCTAGCCCCTGGGGTCAGGCCCCGGCACTGAGTCCCATTATATCTACATGAAACGTGGCACTTTCAGAATGCTGGACCTTGACATCCTGACACTCCTGTGCAGAGGGGATTATCTGACTCTGCATATGAGGAAACTGAGGCCCAGAATGACCCCCATGCTGGAGCCCCGACCTGGCCCTGAGCCTGGGCTGGCGGCAGGGTTGGTCCTGGGGACTGCATGAGGCCCTGATGCTGTGCCCCAGCTTAGTGGCCCCAGGAATCCTGTGCCCTGGGGCCTGCCAGGGCTCACACACTCCTGGGCGCTCAGGCACCTGGAAGCCCTGTCTATAGGGCCCC